TATATGACAAAATCTCTTGCGAATCGCTTGTATCTAAAGAAGCGGTTGTTCACTCCTCATATGCATGAAGGTTCGTCTCTGAAAGACATCTTGACGACGTAAATAGTATCATCATGGACTTGAATAATATTGATGTCAAGATAGAGGATGAAGATCAGGCTATTATTCGGTTGTGTTCCCTACCACCCTCGTATGAGAACTTTGTCAATACAATGATGTATGACAGAACTGCTTTGTCTATGGAAGACGTGAAGGCAGCTCTGAATTTTGAGTTACAGAAAAGGGCGTTTGAGGGCAATACAGAAAATTCGGCAGAGGGGTTATTTATTAGAGGGAGAAGAATCAGAAGGGAGGGTCCGGCAGCAAAGGTCGTTCTAAGTCTAAGAACAAAATGAAGGTGTTGAGATGCTTCATCTGTCACAAGGAAGGGCACTTCAAAAAAGATTGTTAGGAGCGTAAGAAGGGAAAGGTAAAATCCTTTGAAGTTGAAAGTGTGGCTGTTGCAGAGGGTAATGATTCAGATGGTGGTAATGTTCTCACAATTTCAGTCGGCAGCTCTTGCGGTGAGTGGATTCTTGATTCGGGTTGCTCGTTTCATGCTTGTCCAAACAGGGACTGGTTTACCTCCTATTGATCTATTGATGGAGGGGAAGTTCTGATGGGGAATGATGTGATGTTAAAGTTTGTAGGTATCGGTACAGTTTGAATCAAGATGTATGACGGCATAGTGATGACACTGACTGATGTCAGGCATGTACCAGAATTAAGAAAGAATTTGATTTCCCTGGGTACGCTGGATTCCATCGGGTGCACTTATAAGGCTGGAGGTGGAGTCATTCGGGTTTTCAAGGGTCCTCTTGTGGTGATGAAGGGACTGAAGAAGCATGGTTTATATGCTCTGCAGGGTAGCACAATCACGGGTTCAGTTGTTATATCGTCCTCAGATCCGGATTTAGATACTATCGGATTGTGGCATATCCGACTTGGGCATATGAGTGACAGGGGGATGGATGTTCTGAGTAAGCAGGGTTTGCTTGGTGGTCAGAAAACTGGGAAGCTGGATTTCTATGAGCATTGTGACTTCGGGAAGCAGTACAGAGTGAAGTTCAGTACAGGAATTCACAGGACCAAGGGTACGGTGGATATATTCATTCTGATCTTTGGGTCCCTCTCAGGTTGTTTCACATGGTGGTGGTAGATATACGATGACGCTGATCGATGACTTTTCTCAAAAAGTTTGAGTTTATATTCTGAAGCATAAGAATGAGGCTTTTGTTACATTCAAGCAGTGGAAGACCTTGATTGAGAAGCAGACAGGAAAACAGGTCAAGCGCTTGAGGACAGACAATGACTTGGAATTTTGTGATGGAGAATTTAATGAGTTCTGCAAGATTCACGGGATTGTGAGACACCACACATTGAGGAAGACTCTGCAGCAGAATGGAGTTGTAGAACAGATGAACATAACGCTATTGGAGAGGGCACGATGTATGTTGTCTAATGCAGGGTTAGATAAAACGTTTTGGGCTGAAGCTGTTTCTACAGCTAGTTACTTGGTGAACTGGTCTCCATCGACTACTATCAACTATAAGACTCCAGAGGAGGTATGGTCTGGTTCTCCTGCTAGTTACAGTAATCTGAGAATATTTGGGTGTCCAGCGTATGCTCATGTGAATGAGGGGAAGCTTAAACCGAGGGTTAAGAAATGCATATTTCTTAGTTATCAGCCTGGGGTCAAGGGATACAGATTATGGTGCCCACAGGCTTCGGGAAAGAAGATACTTGTTAGTAGGGATGTGACCTTTCATGAGTCTGCGATGCTTACTCCGCAGAAGGAGGTAGTTGATTCAGGGAAAACTCAGGGTGGAGCATGTAGAGGTTCATTTAGAGGATAGTCCTGTTCGGTTGACTCACAAGCAGGTGCAGTTTCTGGTTGAGGGAGATGCACAATTGCAGCAGTATAGTGTGGCTAGAGACAGACCTAGGAGGGATATTAGGCCACCTGAGAAGTAATGGTTTTCACATGCTGATTCGGTTGCTAATGCACTTAGTGTGGCAGAGGATATTGATGAGTCATGTACTTATCATGAGGCTATCACAGGTGGAGAGTCAGCACAGTGGTCTGTTGCCATGAGTGAGGAGATTGAGTCTCTTCATAAGAACTAGACTTGGAAGCTAGTTAAGAAGCTTAACAACCAGAAATTTGTGGGCTCTTCAAGAAGAAGAAGGAATTCCAAGGGTGGAAGATGTGAGAAACAAGGCACGCTTGGTGGCAAAGGGCTATACACAGAGTGAAGGGGTGGACTTCAATGAAGTTTTTTCTCCTGTGGTGAAACATAGCTCAATCCAGGTGTTACTTGCTATGGTTGCTCCGTATGACTTGGAGCTTGAGCAGCTTGATGTCAAGACTGCTTTCTTGCATGGTGAGTTGGAAGAACAGATTTATATGCATTAACCTGAGGGGTTTGAGATTATGGGAAAGGAAGATCATTATTGCCTACTAAAGAAGTCCTTGTATGAGTTGAAGCAGTCTCCTAGACAGTGGTACAAGTGATTTGACACCTTTATGGTTGGGAATGGCTACTGTAGAAGTAAGTTTGACAGTTGTGTGTATCATAGTAAGCTTTTAGGTGGTTCTTATTTGTACTTGTTGATGTATGTTGATGACATGTTGATAACTTGCAAGAACATGTCTGAAATCAACATGTTAAAGGCTTAGCTTAGTTGTGAATTTAAGATGAAGGATCTTGGAGCTGCAAAGAGGAAATTGGGAATGGAAATTCACAGGGACAGAGGAGCGGGCAGATTGTATTTGTCACAGAAGAAATACACAGAGAAGGTGCTGGAACGCTTTGGTATGCAGGCATCAAAACCTGTGAATACTACATTGGCTGCCCACTTTAGACTTTCAGCACGATTGTCACCATAAACCGAGGAGGAGGTGGAGCACATGTCTCGTGTTCCTTATGCTAGTGCAATTGGTAGCCTTATGTACGCTATGGTGTGTACTAGGCCAGACATTTCACATGCAATTAGTATAGTAAGCAAATATATGGATAGACCTAGGAAGGTCCACTGGCAGGTTGTGAAATGGATATTACGATACTTGCGAGGCACTGCAGATGTTGGGTTAGTCTATGACAGAGGCAGCGACATATGTGGGAATGTTGCTGGATATGTTGATTCGGATTATGTTGGAGATCTTGACAGGAGAAGGTCCTTGACAGGGTATGTCTTCACGCTTTTTGGGAGTGTGATATGTTGGAAGGTGACAACTTTGTAGCCCATAGTTGCATTGTCTACTACTGAGGCTGAGTACATGGCAACTACAGAGGCAGTGAAGGAAGCTATATGGTTGAGAGGTTTGGTTGGTGATTTGGGTTTGCAGCAGGATGATTTGACTGTGTTTTGATATAGCTAGAGTGCCATACATTTAATTAAAAATCAAATGTACCATGAGAGGACCAAACACATTGATGTCAGGTTTCACTTTATCAGAGATGTGGTTGCACAGGGTGCTATTGTAGTGAGGAAGATTGGGACAGCAAAGAATCCGGCAGATATGATGACAAAGGTCATTCTTACACTCAAGTTCAGACATTGTCTGGACTTGATTGGTACTTGCAGTTGCTGAGGCCTTAGGGGCATGTAGAGGCGGCGAAAAGAGTAGCTGGAGATTGTGGAGCTTGGCATAATTCGAGCCAAGGTGGAGATTTGTGATATTGTGGCCCGAATTTGGTACCGGGTCGCAACGACGATAGGAAAATTTGTTGACCCATTTTTTGCTCATGGGTCGTGGACCCTAATTAGTCTCTTATAACCCAATATATAAGAGCACTTAGGGTTTGGAGTGGTGTAAGAGAGAGACTCTGAAATTCGTACAAAACAGTCAGAGGGGTTGAAAACTTGTAATCTTTGATTTGACACATAGTGAAAACTTTCGCCGGATCCCAACTGTGGACGTAGGCTTGCCGAACCACATATAAATCTTTGTGTTCTTTGTGTGGTGTGTTTACTTTTCTGTCATGATTCTTGATTCAATTTGGGTTCGTTGCGTTTGTCATAACAAAAGTGTATTTTATATGGTATTTTCTTTTAAGGCAAGTTTTGGCCTCTAAGAAATTGTAATCCTTGTCCAACAAAGAATTGGGTTTACGATTCTATAAATAGATACCTAATTTTTTGTTGTGAGAAATGTAGTCTCATGAGGGGTGGAGTTGATGGGTAGAGGTGTAGTTATATGGTAGAGTGAACATTGATGGCGAGAGGGAGGCTCGTGGAGTACACGGAGAACTCGGTCAGGAATATCTCTACATATATAGTGAATCTCCTCTCATCCGTGGATGTAGCCCTAATATTGGGTGAACTACGTATATCTTGTGTTTTGGGGTGTGCTTGTCTTTCTTTTTTGCTTCCGCTGACGCCAACGCTTTCCACATATTACATATAAGTATGAACTCTAGTCTTAGTATCGTTATACATATATATCTTGAATAAGTTCAATAAATCTAATTGGAATATGTTATTTTTTCCTAAAGCCCACCAAATCATGTCGAAGGAACTCTATCGCATGCTTCTTTTAAGTCTATAAAAGATGTGTAGATCTTTTTGCTTATTTCTACAATCCCTCTACTAACTGTATTAATAGGTAATAGCCTCTATAGTGGATCTTCCTAGCATAAATCCATATTGATTCTCGTTAAGTACATTATTTTCTCAGTTTTTTTTTTCCCCATAATTTTATAGTATGAAGTTTTTAAAAATAATAATACACACACTTTGAGAGGGAAAGAGAGTTTTCTTACATTTTCTCAGCAACCAAACAATACAAAAAAAAATCACGATTTTACAAGTCCATACCTATTTTTAATTCAGAAAATAAAAGCAAAAACATATAATTATTGAACCTGCATTTGGTTTTTTTTTTTTATTTCAAAATTTTACTAACGAATTTAGCCTTCACTCGAATCTAATTTAAATAATAGCAACAGAGAACAAACCGTGCAAGTCGGGCATGAAATCATGGTCCAACTCACGATCTCGGATCCCAATATCAGGCGATTGGTCCCCAAACTCGTTGAGAACCGCCAATACACCTCGCGTCTTCACAATCCCCATTGCATTCTTCGTCTTCGGATTAACCTCGATCTCAGTCCCCAACGCGTGCTCCCTCATGAACGGCTCAACCATCACCGTCGTAGAACCTCCCCAACACCGCACGCGACGCCAGCTCGATGACTTCGGCGAATGAGATGAAGATTAGCATAAAAACCTCCCATTGATGAAGCTTCTGAAATCTGAAAAATTGGATCGTCAGTAATCCCATTTCTCTAAACAGGATCAGAGGGGCATCTCTCGGTCTTTTAACCTTTAAAAGGAGGGCATTTTTGTCTTTTCAACACAACTTTTTTCAATTTTCAACCAAGCACGTTTGCATTTGCCTAAAACATTTTAATGTGCTAAAAATGTATAATGGTGTTCAAAATTACTAAAACAGCCATACAATACCAAAATTTACAGTAGAAGATCCGGACGCTAACTGCAACAGCAAAATGTGGTAATTTAAGAATTTTTGTGTAAAAAATTTAGTTCAGGGGTTACATGCAGTTGGAGTTGGTTTATTGTTATTAACCACTCAGTCACACAATTTTTTTCCAGGAGTGTCACTTTTACGTTCTGAGAACTCCGCGCACGTTTTGAGTTAAATTTTCATTATTTATGACTTAATCTCTCTCGAATTTGCTCTCACTCTAACTCCCGCTTTATATGACTTAGATTAACCATATATAGATTTTAGAGTTTACATAAATCCATCCACTTACTCAAAAAAAGAGTTTATATAGATTTAACACATTTAATTGAACACATTTAAATTGTAATTTCAACACATTACTTTTAGAATTTCATAAATACACCGCTAAGTTTGTTTACATAAAATATTTTTTTTGAAAAATATATATTTTTTTAAGTAAAATATATGTATATATACATATAACTTTTTTTTTTATTTTTTGATATTTGTCAAAAGTTTAGATCGAGATAGAGGTCGAATTTATCGGGTGGGGCGTGTAAAATACTTGTCTAAAATTAATGAATTAAGTTATTTTTGTTAAGTTTTAATAAATTTTTTATTCCTAAATATTTTATAACTATCAAACATCAAAAAATAAAAATCATGGTCTAAAAAATATTTTTCATCCAATCAAACAAAGCCAAATGAAGTCGTTTGACTCAGTGCCTCAATGTGTGGAGACAGAGTCATATACTAAAAGTAAGATTGGCTGAATGAGAGGAAGAAGAAAAGAATACAAAAACAGAGAGACAGGCCTACAAGTTAATGGACAGACAGAGACTAATTTTGACAATGTTGAAAGAGTGTTCAATTAGTGTTACAATCAACCTACCAATTGATTAAGTTGTGGAATAAGTGGCAGAGAGTGTCAACATGAGGAGAAGTAAATGTATGCATGTGTAATGTGTATATGTATATGTAGATATAGTTGACCACCCAAAGTTACATGAAACATTGTTTTGGTAAGAGATGATTTGGAGGTCTCATTCTTCTCTATCACCATCATTCTTTGTTAATTGAGATTGAGGGATCCAAGATGTGGCAACTGATGAGGGACAGTGGCACCATAACAAGACCAGGCCCTGTTTCTCGATCGGAGGCGATACTCTTTCAATGAACCAGTCTCTCTCAGAGAGCCAAACCCTGGTTTCTCAATGTACCAATTTCGAACTCGCTTTCTTTACAAAAGGTACTCCACTTAGCTTCTATCTTGGCATATGGTATAAACATTTTGCTGAGAAGATCATGGTTTGGGCAGCTAACAGAGAGAACATGTTTTCTAATACATTACCATTAATCCTTGAATTCTCTGAAGATGGTAATTTAATCCTGCACAGTCGTTTTGATAAAGAACCAATTTGGTGAACAAACTTTGTGTAACCAAAGTCAAATTCCGCTGAAGCAGTGCTTCAGGATAACGGAAATTTTGTTGTTTGAAATGTTACAAATCCATCTATAAAATATTGGCAGAGTTTTGAAAGATTTATGTGAATTTTCAAATGGGAGACCCATTGTACATGAGGTTTTACATGAACAAAAATTTGATATGAGTGCAAAATTTACATTAAAATCAATCCATAAGCCCATAAAATATATTAAGGTTGAAAGCACACAAAGCAAAAATTGTCTTGGTGCTTTATAAAGAGCACAATACATTAAATTTTTTTAAAATATTCAAAATAATTTAGTCACAAAAATCAAAATTCAACTTCATATTAAAGTAAATGTGACATTCTTTACATTTTGAGATGCAAAGTTATAAATTAAAGTACTCCAATCACTGTCATAATTTTGTTGTTTGAACTGGTTTGAGTTAAAAATTTGACCATTGATTGCATACATGAGTTAAAAATTTGATTGTTTGAACTAGACTTAACTATCATACATGCACGTTGGCCCAAAACTAATATAATAATAAAACATAAATTAGTTTCTTGTTTAAATATAAAAAATCATTTTTTCTTTTGAAGGAAAGGGATAGAAACAAATTATTTCTACCATACAAATTATTATATTACATATATAAATTACTATTATAAGTACGTGTTTATTGTAATAAATTTTTTTTTTGAAAATTATTTATTACCATAAATTTACATGACATATGGTTATGTATTATTTTTTAATTTTTTAATTATGACTTGAAATAGATGTATTTTAATTGATTAAAAGGCTAATTACATTCATTTATGGGAAGTAGTGATATTTCAGACAACTTCATCACTCTTCTCACTATTTACATAGGATTTTATTTTATGTTTTAGTATTTGGTTCAGACATTTATTCATGTTATTTATTTTCAGTTGGGATTTATTAGGGGTTCACATGGTATGAATTCCCGAGTTGTATTCTAGAGGATTATTAGTATCAGAGATGGTTATTATTTATTGGATTGATTCCTGGAAGATTTAATTAATTATTATTTAGTTTTCTTTCAGCTTTACTTATTCATCTATTACCTAATTGTCTTGATATCCCTCGATTTTGTGCGTGACCTGATCAACCCGTGTTCTGGAATCGAGGGGTATCACATGAGGTGTATAATGTAAATGAATTTTTGGTTTCCTTTATGTTATATGATCATGGAACTATCGTTAAGTATGGATGTTGTGACTGTTTGGGACAGGGTTAGGCCATACATAGGCTCCTCGGATATGTACAGGACTTTAGAAACCATGAACCTGCTTACTTTTTTTTCAGTTTCTAGTTTCCAACAGGACTTTGGGTACAAAACCTTCAAACTAATACCTAGGGTGATTAGTGATCATGGATTGTGTTTAAATGAAAATTTTGTTGCCGTTGGATCATTTTTTAGGATTTGGTTAAGGTTTTGAGTCATTGATCATATTCTTCATGATAATATGTGTGAAAATTCTTTCAATGAATTTATGATCTATCTTTGAACTGCAACATGATGATTTGATAAAAATAGATTCTTGGATTGTAATCTATACAATGAAAAACAATTTGCATTGATTGAGAGATTTTTAGATTTGAATCTTTTGAGTTCATAGTTTTTGTGCACTAGTCCATATCTGAAAATTTTGATTAAAAATCTTTGAATTGTTGACTAGGTTTTATTGATCACAAAACTATAGAGGTTATTAATTGTTTAAAAAAAATAAAATAGGAGCATAAAAAAACAAGGAAAAATTTGCTGAATTCTTTGTTAAGGAAAAGGCTACCTATTGAGTTTGGGTCGAAAGCTCCCATTAGACTTTGAAGTGAAATTATTTGAGTAAAAAGAAAGGTGGAGATAAGTTGAACTGGGAAATTGCTGTCTGCTCTTTAGAGTGAAGGCCACCTTACTTAGAAAAATTGCTCAAAAATTAGAAAAATTGCTCAAAAATAATCTTATCTTGATACTTTTCGATCCATATGATTTAAGACAATGAATTAATGAAATTTGATTGAAAATTGATAAGATTGGATTCCATAATCACACATGAACTTGTTAGATAAATTTCTAAATGCTTCTGTAAAATTTGCAAGTTGTATTTCATGTTGTAATTGCTTTATGAGATTTCAAATAAATTGAAGATTCTGTGGAGTCAAAAATTTGTGTTCATAGATACTCAGAAAATTATCTAGAAATTTGGATCATATATGGACTTGAAGATTAAAATGCTCAAGTGATTTGTTTGTTTGTTTGTTTTGTTTTGTTTTGTTTTTTTTTTTTTTTTAAAAAAAAAAAAAAAACCTGAAAAAAATTCAAAAAGATTTTGATTTTTAGGTTTTAGATTTTTTTTATGGTTTGTTTTGATCATTGGGTATTTGAAAAATCTGGGAAGAATTTTTTTTTTTTTTGAAAATTTAAGTCTGTGAATTCAATTACTGTCCAGTTGCTATCGGTACTAGCTCCCTCTATCGGTTCAGGGTTGCGAATTAGTAATGCCAAACACACTGTCCATTGGCTACCGATACCCACATTGGCTACAGGTTTAGGATTGCCAGGTATTGAACAAAATTCACTGGATATTGGCTACCGGTACCTACCTCTGCTACCGGTTAAGGACTGCGTTGTAAAGCACGCATGTGACTGCCGCTTGGGAACCGATTCCCAAACTGGATACCGGTTCCTGGCAGCAGGTTTAGGCACTACTGTTGGGCTTGTTGCATAACTTTTTCTCTCTCTATATTGCTATCTCTCTCTCTACGTACACTTACTCCCATCATATATATACATCTCATACATCTTCAATAATGCTTAATTGTCATCATATTTGTGCACACATCTAATGATATACTTTGATTATTGTCTTGACATTGTGGATTGAAGATTGAAGATTGAAGATTGGGTTTTGAGATTGAAAATTAGAGATTGGGTTTGAATTTTTTTTAGAGGATTGGTTCAAGCATATATTAGTGAAAAGATTGAAGACTTCTGGTTTGATTGTGAGGCCTTGTTTGCATTGCCTTGTTGTTGATTTTTGGGAGTTTTGAAGATCCAAACCAAGCTTTCTCAAGAACAAAGTTCAGGGTGCACGCCAAGTGTTCGATAAAATTCCCAAGAGAAGTTAGAAGCTTCAAACCAAAATTTTTTGAACTACAAATGGCACCTAGACTATCCAAAGAAGTTATTTAATTAATTATTTAATTATTTGATTTATTCTTTGCTTGTGACCTTAGGGTTTTGAGTTCGGTTTTGAGTTCGGATTTGACTTCCGACTCCACGTGCATTTTCATTATTTTAATTCCATGAAATATGTAACGACCCAAAATGATACCAGTCATAAAAAAAAATTCAGCATGA